GGGACAGGGCCTTCATGCTGCATCACCGGGACTGGGGACAGGGACAGGGCCTTCATGCTATGCCACCAGGACTGGGGACAGGGACAGGGCCTTCGTGCTGTGCCACCAGGACTGGGGACAGGGACAGGGACTTCGTGCTATGCCATCAGGACTGGGGACGGGGACAGGGCCTTCGTGCTGTACCACCGGGACTGGGAGCAAGGACAGGGCCTGCATGCTACCACATGTCTTGTTGGCACAGCTGAAAGCTAGGGAGTCCCAGCTCTAAGTCTTCATCATTAGCATATCCAAGCTGACACATGATGTAGTGTGGTCACACAGTTGGCCCCTGTCGAAGGCTTTCCCTGTGGGAATTTAGACATGGATTTATTTTGACAGTCAGTTCCTAGGTTATCTGAAAACAGAATGGGTACAGAAATCAAGGGCATGGTTTTCTCACTAACTTAAAGGCTCCCATCTCAATGCTTATAGGGTATTTTCAAGTTTCCGTCTTTTTTTCAGAGATAAGCTATAATTTCTAGGCCCTCATGAATATCTTTTACTGCCCGAATTCACAGCCTTTCTTCTTTGGGATCACATTTGATTGGACATATGCCTTCAAAAACTACTCTGTTTATAACTGTGTTCCCAAGACATGGCCCCTGAAGCCATCATAACCTCGTCTGTGAGCGGTTTCTAACAGAGAAGAGTTTTAAGTTGGTTCTTAGACGTGGGCATCATGTTCTGTGTTCTGTCGAGACTCTGGATCGCAGGTGTAAGTGAACAGCTGCCCTCTCCCAGAGAGCGGCATTGGGCGCGCTGTAAGAGCTGGCGATAGGATCTGCAGTGAGACCTTCTCAAGGGCTGAGAGAGTTTGAAGATGTAATAAGTACTGCTGCAGGGACTGCTTAACACACACATTCTTTCGTTTTCTTTTCCAGTCTGCAAGTATTCCTGCCACAAGAAATGTAAAGCCAAGGTAAGCATTGCCTTTCTTTTCCCACGGAACTTTTTATAGCCTAATTGGCCTTTGTTGAATGATATGCATAGGAGGGGTGGGGGAAGAGGGACTATTTGGAACATGGCCACCAAAATGAAACTCTTAAGGAAAGAAACGGCTAGTAGATAAATTGTGATGGGTTGTATACATTTTTGTCTCAAGAATAAACTGGAGTGCTATGAAACCCATGCTTTTAATTATAGAAAATAATTCTTAAGAATTTGATTTCAGATAAGAATGAAATAATTTTCTCCTGGTCCTGCCACCAGGACATTCTCAGTGACAAAATGGTGCCTTGTTCCTGGTTCCACTGACGTACTTTTCAGGGGAGAGAGAGAGGGCAGTGGGAATGGACAAGGTCTAGGATGTCAGCCTCCTCACATGGATCTTTCTGACCTTCTGTTGGAGGATGGTTAGTCATAGATTGACTGGGATTTTCAATTTGTCATGGACATCTGGGGACTCTGAATTAAGTGGTATTATCCCAAGTTTGCATGTTTCCTGAGGGGATTGACTTGCTGAATGGTCTTCCTTCCACCTAGCACTGGGAACCTTGGTGTGCTATGCTGTTTAGGGCTTTGATTAGCAGGTAAGTGAGATGGCAGAGAAACAGCACCTGGAAGGGTACAGGTACCCCATGGTTTTCTAACTGGGTCACAGTGGCTTAACCTCCTAGGTTTCTGGGTCTTGATGTTGGTCAGCAACGAGACCTGAGTCTCTCAGCCCAGCAGCTTTGTAGGCAGCCATCAGATGTTCCCTCAGGCTTCCCTCAGTGGCTGTAGACCTAGGGAGATGGGGTTTTATAGACTCTTGAAATCTTGTTGCTGTATGGCCCTCGTGGGTCAACTGTTTCTGAGACTTTTAAACTCAGGTTCTGAGCGAAGGCCGTGCTAGATAGAAGCCAACTTCACATTTGTGTGAACTGGCTTCATGTGGGTGGATTCCTACCCCCTCCCCTACCCCCAAACACACACACACACACACACACACACACACACACACAGAGTTTGAAGAACTACAGGCCACACACACACACACACACACACACAGAGTTTGAAGAACTACACACACACACAGAGTTTGAAGAACTACAGGCATTACAGAGATTAAATGACTTTTAAAACTTTTTATTTTGGAGAATTTTGAACTTATGCAGAAGGATAGCAAAATGCTGTGCTCATTTCCAGACCCCAAGCTAGCACTCACTCTTTCCCTTCCAGGCCCCCTCCACTCCCTGCCTCTTTCAAGATGTCACAGAAGATGCATTTTGAGCTGTGTTAAGAACGGGGCCCCTCCTGGCAGGGCTTCACCGACGCGTCTGCTGACACTTTCAGTCTCACTCTGGAGAAGGCTTCCCGTTTTCATCTAAAGCAAGACATTTCTTGCTCACACTCCCGGGCGTGGTGGATTTCCTACTGTGGTTTATTTTAGGTCTCCTTTGCCCACAGATATATTTCCTGGCTGTGCTGTATACTTTTTAAAAAATATTTTATTCTCTTTTTGGTGAAGATTTACACAGCAGTTTAGGTTCCCATTCAACAATTTCTACACAAGTTGTTCAATGACATTGGTTACATTCTTCACAATGTGTGAACATTGTCATTATTTCCGTTCTGGTTGTTCTGTTTCCATTAATGTAGTTTCCCTGCCCCCTTGCATTGTCATGTTTGTTTTAAAGTCACTGTTGACCATCTGGTCTCATGTTTTTAAAAAGCACACTACTTATAGGTGATATTCATTATTTTCTGAGCCAATTTATTTAGCTACAAGGTGACCTCAGGGGTTCGTTTCAGTTCAAGGTTTGAAGAGTATCTCAGGGCAGTACTCTTGGGGATTTCTCCACGCTTAACCCGTCTGATAGGTCTAGTTTTTGTTTTTTGTTTTTTTAGGAATTTGAGGTTCTGTTTCACATTTTCTGCCGTTCTATCAGAGTCCATTTCTTATGGCCCTGATTAGAACAGTCGATAGTGGTAGTTGGGCACCATCTAGTTCTTGTGGTCTCAGGGTAGATGAGGCCGTGATTTGTGTAGACTGTCCTGTAGACTACTTTGCTCCTTGAGTCTTTGGTTTCCTTCTTTCTCTTTTGCTCAGGACAAGTAGAAAACAGTGCCTCCTCTCTCCACCATCTTTACCAATTCTGACAACAGTGCCTCCTCTCTCCACCATCTTTACCAATTCTGACACCAGCCATCCCTCCCATGGACTCTCTACTTCTCTGCTGGGTTTGATAATTCATTGTAATGGCCATACAGAACTCATAGACAATACTCATGATTATGGATTTATTAGGGAAGTGACAGGTTACACTTTAGGTTCAGGAACTCTCAGGATACAGTTCTTTCATCAGGACAGCCTCTTCCCAGCTGTGCTCGCAGGCACGCCTCTCCCTGGCCAAAGGCACTTGGCTTTCTTTCTCCACAAGCTGGGAAGCCTACCATACCGAGTCCTGCTTCCGTGTCTCTGCTGCCAGGTGTCTCTGCTGCTAGGTCTCTGCCACTGCTTCTCGAGCTCACTCTCTCTCTGTCTTCTGGTTCCAGGAGCTTCTCAGCACAGGGAGCCAGGTCCAAAGGACGTGCTGTCTACTAGCTGTTCTTCCTTGTTGGTGGTGGGATCTTCTTTTTTCCTACCTCTGGGGTGGCTCATTTCAAGTCCAGTGGGATGGTAAAACTGACCAGTCCCTTTGGTGGGCCACAATTACCCTATCACACAGTCCTACCCAGTCACTTGAGAAGGAGTTACAAGACCATGGCTAGAAAGGCCACACAAAAGTGATCCATCGCACTGCACTTTCTCATCACCAAAAAGAACAAGTGTCTACTGTCTAGAGAATGAATTCCCTTCTCCCCTCCCCGCCATCCCTTGTAACCACTAATGAACATTAGTTTTTGTATATTTACTTGTTCATGTCATTTCATAAAAGTGAGGATATACAATATTTGTTTTTTTTTGTGATTGAATTATTTTGCTCAACGTAATGTCCTCCAGGTTCATCCATGTTTCAAGATGTTTTGGGAACTCAGTTATCTTTATTGCTGAGTGGTATTCCATTGTATGTATGTACTACATTTTGTTTATCCATTCATCTGTTGAAAGGCACTGAGGTTCTGTTTCCATTTGTTTTCTATTGTGAATAGTTCTGTGATGAACATAAACGTGCATATGTCTGTTCCTGTCACTTTTATTAGATCCCTAGGGTATATTCCTAGGAATGGAATTGCTGGGTCATGTGGCAGCTCTACCTCTAGTGTTTTGAGGAACTGCCAGACTGTTTTCCACAACGGCGGTACCATTTTGCATTCCCACCAGCAGTGGATGAGCGTTCCAATTTCTCTACATCCCCTCCAACACAGGTTGTTTTCCATTTTTTTTATCTTGGTCATCCTAGGGAGTGGAATGGTATCTCATTGTGGTTTTGATTTGTATTTCTCTGATGACTAATGATGTTGAGTGTGTTTTTATGTGTCTGTTGGCCGTTCGAATATGCTCTTTGGTGAAGTGTCTGTTCATGTCCTTTGCCCAGTTTTTGACTGGGTTATTTATCTTTTTTGTTGTTAAGTTGTAGAAGTTTTCTATATATTTCAGGTATTAGACCCTTATCAGTTAAATTGTTCTCAAAGACTTTTTCCCGGTATATAGGTTGTCTCTTTACTCTTTTGATAAAGTCTTTTTTATAAAGTCCCAGTTATCTATGTTGTTTCCTCTTGCTTGTGCATTCATTGTTCTGTTTGATAATCTATCACTGAATAAAAACATTAGGTCCCAAAGCTTTGCTCCTGTATTTTCTTCCAAGAACTTCATGGTTTCAGATTTAACATTTAGGTCTTTGATCCGTTTTGAATTAGTTTTTGTGTATGGTATGAGGTATAGATCTTGTTTCATTTTTCTGCATGTGGAAATCCAGTTTTTCCAGCCCCATTAGCTGAAGAGACTGTTCCTTCCCCATTGGATGGATTTGGCACCCTTGTCAAAAATCAATTAATCATAGATGTTTGGATTTATTTCTGTATTTTCAGTTCTATTCCATTGGTCAATGTGTCTGTCATTAAACCAGAACCAGGCTGGTTTGATTTCTGTAGCTGTGTAGTATGTTTTGAAGTCAGGAAGTGTGAGGCCTCCTACTTTGTTCTTCTTTAAAATTGCTTTGCTATTTGGGGTTTCTTGTCTTTCCATATAAAATTGAGGATTAGTTTTCCATTTCTGTAAAGAAGGTTGTTGGAATTTTGATCCAGATTACATTGTATCTGTATATCATTTTGGGTAGTATTGACATCTTGAGCATAGTAAGTCTTTCAATCCATGAGCATGCAACATCTTTCCACCTATTTAGGTCTTCTTTAGTCTCTTTCAGAGCCCTGGTGACTCAGTGGTCAGCAGTTCAAATTCAGCAGCCACTCCTTAGAAACCCTATGGGGCAGTTCTCCTCTATCCTGTAGGGTCGCTGTGAGTCAGAATTGACTCGATGGCAATGGGTTTAGTCTCTTTCATCAGTGTTCTATAATTTTTGTTGTATAAGTCTTCCACATCCCTGGGTAAATTTCTTCCTAGGTATTTAATTCTCTTAGATGCTATTGTAAATGGAGTTGTTTTCTTAATCTTTTAAAATTTCTCATTGCTGGTGTATAGAAACCCAGCTGAATTTTTGTGTTCACCTTGTATCCTGCATCTTTGCTGAATTCTAGAAACTTTTTAGTAGATTTTTGGGGATTTTCTATATATAGGATCATGTTATTTGTGCATAGGGATAGTTTTACCTCTTCTTTTCCAATCTGGATACTTTTTATTTGCACTGTATACTTTTGATCTGAGCAATTACAGATTGGAGCAGTGATTCCAGTACATAGTAGTGCATGGGGAAGTAAATCCTCTGGGGAACATTTCTGATTCTGCAGAGGATTTCCAAGTGCCCCTCAGCCATGAGGCCCTCAGTTTCAGTGACCCTTGTAGCTCATCACCCATTGTGGGGTAGAAGGAGGTGGAGA